TCCCTTCTCTTTTTTAACTCATGTTTAGTTGGGATAAAATTTAATTTTTTACTAATTTTTTATAAAATTTTTTGAAATATCTAGTTGGAAATTTTATAAAAAAAAAATAGTGAGTTTCGTAAATTGTATGGTTGAAAATGAATTTTAAAAAATGGAAGTCAACGAGGTTTTCATTTTAAGTGTCAGTTGAGCCCAATTTTTGAACCAAAATGCATTTTGGAATAATATTTTATTAAAAAATATGTAGTTGAAAAATAAGAAAAAAGTTTTAAATTTACATATAAAATTATTTTATAGGAAATGTTTAATAAAAAGTAATTTTTTGAAAAAATAGAGACTAAACATAAGCTAAACAAGATAATATTAAAAAAAAAATTATCCTTCTTTAACGTAAAAAATGCAGTTACGGTACCAAACCTTTCAAAATGTCATGCTAAAGTCCAAATTGATGGTTACTGATAATTTGATCGTTATTTAACCAAATAATTAATATTGGCTATAATTTTGACTAATTCTAAATTGATAAAATAGTAACTTTACATTTTTCAACAAAAAACACAATTAAAATATGTGAATAATTAAATAAAAAAAACGTAAACAATAGTCATCTTCTTCTCCTCACATCCTACCCGCCTACCGCAAAACTATCACCACTACCAACGGTCGACGCTACAGCACCCACCCAAAACATAAAAAAAGAATCTTTGACAACGAGGTCAAGTTTCTTGAAACTAAAGGAGGGTCCCTTACAGAAGAAGGGAAATGTGAGGAAATTGAGGAGGAATATGAAGTGGACGTGAAAGTTGGACGAACATGTATCTTGAAGATACAATTCTTGATTAAGGCCTCCTGAAATTGTTTAAAACCCTATTACAATCATCGTTTTCGAAAGACAATAATGGAGGTCTTCTTGAAGCTATGATTTTGGGACTTCTTAGAAACATCACCCACTCAACGTCGGTGGAACCTTTGATGACTCAATCTCCATCACACCACAACAACATCTCCACCTCAAATCCACAACCACCACAACCAATTGTCCACAGGATAAGGTTTTGACATAAAAAAGCAATTTGGGGGATAGGAATATACAAGGTGAACAAGTTGTACAGTGAACATTTACGCCGCAGTCATCGCCACATCTAACTGCCACCTCCGCCATCGCTTTTCCTCACCACCATCACCACTTTCATTCACTAGAACCACCACTTTACTACAACAAAATTGTGATTTCGCGACAAGATTTTTCGCGACATACAAAAAGTTGTCGAAATAAGTGACTTAACGTGACATATTTTTAAAGTTTGTCGCGAAGATTGTGCTAAAAAAATTAGTACCAAATAATATAAGGCGACGTAAAAAGTTGTTGTGAAATGTGAGAAGTTGCGACAAATAATAAAGAATGTCGCAAAAAATATGAGGCAGGTAAGGTGCCAAAATATTTGTGGTGGGAAACTTATGGCGACAAACTTTTATTTATTGCAACAAATTGCTTGTGATGCAATATGGTCTACTTTTTGCGATAAAAAATATTTGTTGCCAAAAATGTTAGAGTTAGAGGAAAAAATCGCTACAAGAAAAATAATTTTTTGCAACGGACAAAAAATGTTGCAATATGTTTTTTACAATGCTCACCC